TCCATATGAATTATAGAATCAGCTGTTACATTCTTGCAAAAAGCCTTCTGAGATTTTGATTGGTATTTTGTGTTAAATAGATAGCTCAACTTAAGAATAATTGACATCTTAATATTTAATCTTCTAACCCATAAATGTTTTATTGATTTTTAGTGGGAGAGGGAGGGAGGGAGACAGAGAGACAGAGAGAAATAGATGTGAAAGTGAAACATTCATCGGCTGCCTCTTGTACAACCCCCACTGGGGTTTGAGCCCAAAACGCAGGCATGTGCCCTGACCGGGAATCGAACTAGCAACCTTTTGGTGCATGGGCCGATGCTTAACCAACTGAGCCACACGCCAGGCCATGACCCATAACTATTGTCTCTCCATTTATTTATATCTTTAATTTATCTCAGAGTATTTTGTAGCTTTTAGTGTATAGGTCTTGGCATCCTTTGTCAGATTTATCCTTAGGTATTGTGTGTGTGTGTGTGTGTGTGTGTGTTTTATGGTAGTGTAGTGAAAAGTGAAATTTCAAAAATACTCATTGTTGCTACTATATAGAAATACAATTAACTTTTATACATTGATCTGGAGGTATCCTACAGTCTTGCTAGAAAACTCCCTTATTAGTTCTAGTACCTTTTGTATAGATTCCTCAGATTTTTTAAATATAGATAATCATGCCACCTGTGAGTAGACAGTTTTACTTCTTTCTTTCCAGTGTAACTGTTTTTATTTATTGTCTGATTGCACTGGCTAGATCCTCCAGCCCTCATCTTGTTCTAATATTAGGGGAAAAGCATTCATGGTGCTTCACCATTACAGATGCTGTTTTTGTATATGTGTTTAATGTGATCAAGGATGTTCCCTTCTATTCCTAACTTGCCGAGAGCTTTTGTCGGGAATGGATGCATTATGCTTTAGTCTTTGGGATTATTATATGGTTTTTCTATTTTAGTGCATATGATAAGTTACATTTATGTTTTACTGGGAAGCCAACCTTTCATTCCTGGGATAAACCCTACTTGGTAACAATGAAGTATGCCTTTTATATATGGCTGAACTCCATTTGCTAAACTCTTTAGAATTTTTGCTTCTATGTTCATGAGGGATAGTGATCTTTAATTTCCTTCATTATAAGGTCTGAGTCTGGTTTCAGTATCAGTAACACTGATGTCATAAGATGTGTTAGGATGTGTTTCTCTTTTTTTTTGTCGAGTTTGTCAAGAATTGGTATTCTTTTTTATGTATTAGATAGAATTCAGTGGTGAAAACTAATGGGTCTGGACTTTTTTTGTGGGTAGGTTTTTGTAATTTTCTATCCTTTTAGCCTGCATGTTTATATTTAAAGTGTAAATGTTGCCCTATCCGGTTTGGCTCAGTGGATAAAGCGTTAGCCTGTGGTCTCAAGGGTCCCAGGTTCGATTCCGGTCAAGGGCATGTACCTTGGTTGCGGGCACATCCCCAGTAGGAGATGTGCAGGAGGCAGCTGATCGATGTTTCTCTCTCATTCTCTATCCCTCTCCCTTCCTCTCTGTAAAAAATCAATAAAATCAATCAATAAATAAAGTGTAAATGTTGTAGGCAGCATGTAATTGGGTCGTTTGTGACCCCTTTGAAAATGAGGAGAATATTGTCCACATACCCATCAGAATATTTCCCCTTAGTTTTTATTGGTTAGGATTGTGTCTAGGGCTTGTGCCTAAACCAGTCACTGGGCAAACAGGAACAATGGGATTACTATGATTGGCTTAGTGCAGTGCATCTATCCTCAGTGTGTCTCCAGACAGCTGTATCAGTATCCCCTGGGAACTGGTTAGACATTCCGAGTACTTAGACCCCATCCCCAAACCTACTGAATTGGGTAGACTTGCCTGTAATCAGGTGTTAGCAAGTTTTGTTTCAACAAGCCCTCTTAGAGATTTCAGTGCACCAAAGATTGAGAACAACTGGCCTAGACTAACCTTTTCTGGGGGTCTGGAGAGCTATCTGGTTCTGGACAGTTCAGGAGTCCTTTAGCAGGGGAGGGTGAATGGGATGGATTTACATAGGTAGGTGATAATCTTGTCTCAGTAGACGGAGGTGGGGCCCAGGAATATAAATTTTTAACTAATCAATATACTCTTGATGAAGGCAAGATTGTCCACATTCTCAGGGAATGATGATATATTGGGATTACTATTAAATCGATTCAGACAGATATTTTAGAATCTCATTTGCAATAGGAGTTAGCAGATTGTATCCTACTGGTACATTGGGCCTGCTGCCTGGTTTATATGGCTGGTCAGCTAAATTTTTACATTATTATTTTTTTTATACTGCCTACAAGAAACTCACTTTATTCCTTTTTTTATTTAAACTTTTTATTGTTGACACTATTGCCGATGTCTCCCATCCCTCTCCCCTCCTTTGCCCACCTCTATCCAGCCCCTGCCCCCTTCCCCTCCTTTGAACCTCACCGCACTGTTGTCTGTGTCCATGGGCTATGCATATGTGTTCTCCAGCTAATTCCTTCACCTTTCTTGATCAAGTCTCCCTCACCTTCCTCCCCTCTGACATTTGCCAGTCTGTTCCATGTATCCATGCCTCTGATTCTATATTGTTCATCAGTTTATTTGTTAGATTCCATATATTAGTGAGATCATATGGTATTTGTCTTTCTCTGGCTAGCTTATTTCGCTTAGCATAATAATCTCCAGGTCCATCCAGGTTGTCTTAAAGGGTAAGAGTTCCTTCTTTTTTATAGCAGCGTAGTTGGTCCATTGTGTAAATGTACCACCGATTTTTAAAATATTTTTTAAAAATGTTTTTATTGATTTCAGAGAGAGGATGGAGAGGGAAAGGGATAGAAAATCAATGAAGAGAGAGAATAATTGGTTAGCTGTCCCCTACACACCCCGACTGGGGAAGGAGCCTGAAACCCAGGCATGTGTCCTGATCGGGAATCAAACCTTTACCTCCTGGTTCATTGATTAACACTCAACCACTAAACAACTGATGGGCACTTAAGCAGTTTTCAAATCTTGCCATTGTAAATAATGCTGCTATGAACATAGGGGTGCATATATTCTTCCTGACTGGTATTTCAGGATTCTTAGGATATATAATCAGAAGTGGGATTGCTGGGTAAAAAGGCAGTTCTATTTTTTATTTTTTAAGGAAACTCCACACTGTTTTCCACAATGGCTACGCCAACCTACATTCCCACCAACAGTGCACTAGAGTTCCCTTTTCTCCACATCCTTGGCAGTGTCGGCCTGGGGACTGACTAAATAATATTTGTTATATTACTAAATAGTTAAAAAAAATCAACAGAATCCTATTTCATGACATCTGAAAATCAGCTTTTAATGAGTATGGGTAAAGTTTATAGGAACTTATTCATTTGCATATCATCTATGATGTCTTTGGACTGCAATAGTAGAGTCAAGTGGTTGTGACGGAGCCTGGCCCACAAAGCCTAAATACTTACTAGCTGGCCCTTTACAAAAAAAAGTTTGCCCATCCGTGACTTAAAAGAATAATTTACCAATGAACAGTATATTCCCCAACCATCTTGGATAACTGATAAATTACTCTAGTAGGTGGGAGTCCTGACTATAAACAGTAAAAAGAGTGAATAATGAAGTGCTATTTCAAGAAAGTGCACTCATTAGAATTATGGTAACTTTGAAGGAATATTACTTTAATGAGATTTGTAATTAGAAGCAGCTTTACAAAATAAGGTCAATTATTAGTGATTATAATTTTCTTTCTTTTTTAAGTTAACTACTGGTTAATCCTCAAGATAAAACTTTTTATATAGCCCTATCACTGAAATTCTAAAATTTACCTTAGCATAATATATCAATGAGAGGAAATCTTTGTTTTAACTTATAGTGCCTCCTTGTTATTTTGAGTCCTACCCATTATTATGTAACTAGCGGCCGGTGCATGAAATTCATGCACTTGGTGGTGGGGTCCCTCAGCCCAGCCTGCACCCTCTTGCAGTCTGGGAGCCCTCAGACCAGCCGTCAGTCAGACATCTTTAGCGCTGCCGCAGAGGCCGGAGAAGCTCCCGCCACTGTGCTGTGCTCGCCTGCCGTGAGCCCGGGCTCAGGGCTTCTGGCTGAGCGGTGCTCCCCCTGTGGGAGCGCACTGACCACCAGGGGGAAGCTTCTGCATTGAGTGTCTTCTCCCTGGAGGTTAGTGCGTGTCATAGCAACCAGTCATTCTGCTGTTCGGGTGATTTCCAGATTAGCCTTTTATTATATAGGATGGTATAGAATATAGATGCTGGAAGGGAACTCTTCCTAAAATACATTCAAAAGCTGTTTGTTTGGCTTTAATAAGAAAGAAGCACTTACCAAATTTAGAATAGACTTTGACTAGAGAAGTATCTGATTATTTGAAGGTTGAGAGCATGAATAAACAACTGACACTCACTTGTAAAAAGCACATAAAATTTGCTTTGTTTGCTATGTCATGCTTACGTACATTAGCTCAAGTTCATGTAAGATTCTATTGCCAAGAAAGAGATGAAAATGTTTCTTTCTGGAAAAGTGAGGTAGTCAGATCATCCTGGTATCTGTTCAAGGTTATTTCAATAACAAAAGCCTCCAATCTCTGACTCTGAGATATATTTTCACAGTTTTTGGAGTCCTTCCCACCAAGCTGCATCCCCATTCTACTTGGGAATGTTTGTCTGTTAAAAAGTAGTTTTGGTATTTAAACTAATCAAATGTGAGTTCTGTTTTGGTAGAGATTGTTAATAAATACATGTTATTTTTCTCTAGAAGATAGGTAATCTCTACATACTTATATAATACCTATAATGTAGATTTCTCTTTTTAAGGTTATACGTTGGGTCTTCAAAGACATTCTCATCATCAGAAAAATCCCTGAGCCCTTTGCAGTGGTGTAGACACGTCCTAGATAATCCGACTCCGGAGATGGAAGCAGCAAGGCGCTCCGTGTGCCATAGACTGGAGCAAGGTAATTGCAAACTGATACCTTTACATTCTCAGACTCTCGCCACTGTCAACTCTGTTTTTGCTGATTTTGGAATAGATGCTTAAATAGAAACGCCTTGCCCTGAGGTGTGGCTGTTGCATGCACTTCACATGTATTACACATCAGGGGTTCTTAATATAGAACATATTTAGTTTTGTGCTTATTTTTTTAGCCAGATTTCTAGCTTGTATTAGTTTGTATTGTACAGTAGGAATACACTTTTTTTTTCTTTCTGTTTGCAAATATACTATAACTAAAATGGGTCAGTCTTAAATTCTCTGGGGATAGTAACAAGGTTGTGTGGCTGAATTCCAAGATAGAAAACTGAAGATTCATTGGATGTGAGTACTGACCATTTTGAGTTCCTTAACTGTTTAGTTGGTTGTATAACTGGAAGTACTAACCTTCATAAATAGGAAAATAATCTTGTATTATATGTAGCATTAATTAACTTATGGGGCCCAACACAAGTTTAAATTAAAAAAAAAATTAGGACTGTTGTAAAAAGAAAAATGGCAAAAGAAATGAGTAGTACTCAGCGCCTTTGATTAAGTAGACTACTTAATTAAAGCTGTGATTATTTAAAAGGCTTTTGATTGTCTCTTAGCTTCTCAGTATCTGATTCATTATCTAGGAACACTATTTCTATCCCATGGACTACCTGCCTCCAATTGTCAACTTGAGTTTGAAAATGCAGATTTCTGCCTGGCCAGCATGGCTTAGTGGTTGAGCATCCACCTATGAACCAGGAGATGATGGTTCGATTCCTGGTCAGGGCACATACTCAGGTTGCCAGCTTGATCCCCAGTGTGGAGTGTGCAAGGCAGCCAGCCAATGATTTTCTCTCATCATTGGTGTTTTCTAGCTCTTTTCTTCTCCCTGCCTCTCTGAAATCAATTAAAACGAAAGAAAATGCAGATTCCTGCCTCTTCCAGACTAAACAATCAGTGTAGCTGGGAGTAGGGCCAAGGGAATCGGCATCGACAAGCTCACAAGTGTGGCTCCTATAGGCACTGCAGTTTGAGAACAGTGCCTATGAAACTCTTCAGGGATAATGAATGATTATAAAAATATTTGGACGTGATAAGACAAAGTATAATAGGTAACATTTCTTGAGCTCTTAATTCTGTGATAGAACAGTAAGTTTTTCATATCCTTAATTTTATTCAGTCCCACCCCACTCAACTGCGGTTGGTACTGTCCTCACTTTTAGAGGTGAGAAAAGTGAAGTTTAGAGAAATTTGGGGGATTATGAGGCCAGAGTGATACCCTGGGGGCAGAGATAAGAGCCTGGGTGTCCCCAGTGCCGAAGACTGTCCTTAACCAGTATCCTCAACTGTGTTTTTTGTTTGTTTTTTGGCACAGTCATTAGTAAATTTTAGTCTGTGTTAAATATTTGGGGAAGATCAAATTTAAAAAGCATGTTTTATTAACATTTTACAGTGAAATAAGTTCTTTAGTAATAGAAAGTTGAAGAGTGGAATAGGAACAAAGGAGTCTTGGGGTTAAAACTTTGGCAGCAGATGCTTATCTCAGAGAGCAGCTGTCAGAGTCAGAAGACTCTAATCGTGATTCTGCTCCCCTTCACCTGCACGACCCTAAGCCGCCATTTAATCCCTCTGGATGTTTCCCTTTCAGGGTTGTTTAGCTCATCCCTAAATTTCTTTATCCTTGATTCAAGGACTTTTTAGATGTACATTTTTTAAATACATGAATGTGTCTTAACTTTATGTAAAATAAAATTTAGAACTAGAGTTCTTTAGCTCGGGGTCACAGACTTTTCTGAAAGGGACCGGATTGTAATAGGTTAGGCTGTGCAGCCCCACGATCCTTGCCATCACTAGAAAGCAGCCATAGATGCAGACAGTAACGAACACGGCTGTGTTCCAATAAATCTTTACCTTCTGACATTGGGTTTTGAATTTCATGTGATTTTTTTTTCATGTGTCACAAAATAATATTTTTATTTTTTTAAAGCATTAAAAAGTGTTGAAACCATTCTTAGCTGGTGGGTATTAAACAGGCAGATTAGATTTGGGCCCTTCAGACCATTTGCATATAGGGTACATTGACAAATACTCTTTTTTTTTTTTTTCCAATAGGGGAGAGGCTTTTGTAAATTTGATGTAAATAATCCTGATTGCTGGGGACTTTTGAGAATTTAGACTAAGTGCCTAAAGCAGAATTGTGAGGTCATGGGGAAATGAACTGAAAGCTGGAGTTTTATTCATGATGTTATTTATTTAAATTTTGTGTAATAGAAGTTAAGCAGAGAACTAGCATTTCAAAACCAAAATTAGTCTTTTGCTAAATTTGTAAATCCTCTTTTGCTCTAAGACTTAAGGCTTTTGTTCCAAAGATCCATAATCCCAATATGAGATAAGAAGTAACCCCATAGAACAGGTAATCATTGGTTGAATTTCTATTTTTGAAACATATTTTATAAAGCATTATGTCTATAGTTTAGAAATATTAGTCTTATGGGTAATTTAAGAAAAATAGCAAATTCCTACCCCATCCTCCCATTCTGTTTTATTACCTAGATATAATTACTTAACCAAAGCTATTTGGCCCTGGCCAGTGTGCTCACTGGTTAGAGCATAAGCCTGTGCACTGAAGGGTCGAAGGTTCAATGTCTGGTCAAGGGCACCTACCTCTCCTGGGTTGCAAGTATCAGTTGGGGTGAGTGTGGGAGGCAACCAATTGATGTCTCTCTTCTCTCTCTCTCTCTCTCTCTCTTCCTCTCTTCCTCTCTTCCTCTCTTCCTCTTTTCCTCTCTTCCTCCCCTCCTCCCCCACTTCCCCACCTTCCACTCTCTCTCTGAAATGCACTGGGGAAAAAAATCTTCCAGTTAGAATTAACAATAAAAGCTATTTGTTTTTATTTTGTTGTTTGCCTCTCTTTATAAATTCCATGCCTATATGGCTATTGCTTGAGTTGTAATTTTAAACATTATCCATTGGCTTTCTGCTTTGGGTGGTGAAGGTTTAATTTTTTTAACAATCCCCCCTCCCCCCAATATGGTACTTTTTTTTTTTTAACATAGCCTCCCATGTAGCTTTTTACTAATTTTAGGATGCATCAATTGATTATGATAGAAATAGTCACATCTAAGCCACACAATATTTTATCATTATGTTTCTTTTCTCATCTAACTTTGTTTTTCCTAGAGTTAATTGTAAAAAGACACTTACTTGATTTTTTTGGTCTTTGTCATTAATTTGTCCCCAGACTCTCCAAATGAGCCATCCTTTGTACAGTTGGACATATAAAGCCAAGTTTGTTTATTTATTTATTAAATATATTTAGTGATTTTAGAGAGAAAGGGAGAGATAGAAACATCAGTAATGAGAGAGAATCATTGATTGGCTGCCTCTTGCATGTCACCTACTAGGGATCAAGCCCGCAACCCAAGCATGTGCTTTTGACCAGATCCTAACCTGGGACTCTTCAGTCCACAGGCAAACGCTCTATCCATTGAGCCAAACCAACTAGGGCAAAGACAATTTTTTTTAAAAAAAACTATTCCTCCTGGTAGTGTCCTGTGTTCTCTTACTCCAGACTGAACTGGCTCTCTGTGGCCCTGTGCACAGCTGTCATGGTGGGCCTTCCTTCTTCTCTCTTCAGTGCTGTATCACCTGTCTCCTTGCTGGAGAGAATTCCTTTTCCTTATATTCCATTTTAATAAAATATATTCTCCTGTTGCTTTTTGGGGGAGTAGGAGAGAATAGAGGATCCATGGGAGAACCTCATATGTCTGGAAGTGCCTTGGTTGTACCCTCACTCTTACACTTGATTGGTTTTTGGACTCGGTATGGAATTCTATGGTTTCTCAGTATAGAAACCTTTCCAACAGAGTTTAGAAGGCTTAGTCCATTATATTTTAGCTTCAGGATTGCTTTTGAAGTCCTGTTCCTTTCTTGTTTCTGATTCTTGTGACCTTTCTATTTAAAATACACTAGGTATTTTAGAATATTTTCTTTCTGGTATTTTGAAATTTCATTTTTGTGCTAGACAGTCAGTGTGTGTAATTCAACCTGGAAACTCAAGTTGGGCAAAATTTTAAGCATTACTTCTTTATAATTCTCCCCTCCCCTCCAGTTTTCTCTGTTCTTTATTTCCAGATACTCCTTTTATCAAATCTCAAATCTCCTGGATTCCTGTTCCCATTCCCTCTCTCTCTCTCTCTCTCTCTCGCCCTCTCCCTCTCCCTCTCTCTTATCGATTTATTTTTCCTACTTTCTTGGAGATTTTTTAAAAAAACCTTTCTACACTCTTAGCTGCATATTTATTAAGTATCTTCTGTGTGTCAGAGACCATTGTAGGTAATGGGGATACAGCAGTGATCAAAACTGATGTTCAGTCCCTGTGCTCACTGAATTTTTTACCTTCTGGTGTGTACTGACTTTACTTACTCCTCCTGTTTTTGTGTAAGGTACTGTTATTTGTGTAACGTAACTTAAATCTAGCAGCTTTCTGTTTCAGTTTACATAATAAAGGCCATGTTTGAGGAAAGCAGGGGAGGGAGCCCAAGGGTTTCAGTACTTTGCTATACACTTTGAAACAGTTGTCCTGTTTTGGTTTCATCCTAGAATCCCTACCCTTTGTGGTACCTGACACCTTCAATTCCAGAACCCTCCCAGGTCCTTGTTGGCTTATCCCCCACTGTCAGCCCTCAGAGCAGTGAGTGCTGAAACAGAAGTCTGTTACCTGATGTTCATCTGTTGTCTCATTTCTGAATGAAATGACTTAGTCTGATGGGGCCTCCTTCCCTATTGTCTTTCATCTGGGTTTAGAAGACTTATAGTTTAGTTTAGTTGCCATTCTAGTGTGGGTTTGTAAGAGAATAAATAAAAACTCATATTTTGTCCTTCATATTGAAGAATTCTTACTGGCTTTCAATTTAGGGGGTCCTTTGTCAATGATAGCTAATTAACATATCACAAATTACAGTTTACTTAAATGTTATTAATAATTAGTAT